CTAACCAAGCAAGTGAAAGACCTGTATGACAAGAACTTCAATTCCCTGAAGAAAGAAATCGAAGAAGATCTCAGAAGATGGAAAGATCTCCCATGCTCATGGATTGGCAGGATTAATATAATAAAAATGGCCATCTTGCCAAAAGCAATCTACAGATTCAATGCAATTCCCATTAAAATCCCAACTCAATTCTTCACAGAGTTAGAAAAGGAAATTCTCAAATTCATATGGAATAACAAAAAACCCAGGATAGCGAAAACTATTCTCAACAATAAAAGAACTTCGGGAGGAATCACCATTCCTGACCTCAAGCTGTACTACAGAGCAATAGTGATAAAAACTACCTGGTATTGGTACAGAGACAGGCAGGAAGATCAATGGAATAGAATTGAAGACGCAGAAATGAACACACACTCCTATGGTCACTTGATCTTTGACAAAGGAGCTAAAACTGTCCAGTGGAAAAAGGACAGCATTTTCAACAAATGGTGCTGCTTCAACTGGAGGACAACATGTAGAAGAATGAAAATTGATCCATTCTTATCTCCTTGTACAAAGCTCAAGTCTAAGTGGATAAAGGACCTCCACATAAAACCAGATACACTGAAACTAATAGAAGAGAAGGTGGGGAAGACCCTCGAATACTTGGGCACAGGGGAAAAGTTCCTGAACAAAACACCAATGGCATATGCTCTAAGATCAAGAATTGACAAATGGGACTTCATAAAATTGCAAAGTTTCTGTAATGCAAAGGACACTGTCAATAGGACAAAACGACAACCAACAAATTGGGAAAAGATCTTTACCAATCCTACATCTGATAGAGGGCTAATATCCAATATATACAAAGAACTCAAGAAAGTATACTCCAGACAACCAAATTACCCTATTAAAAAATGGGGTATAGGGCTTAACAAAGAATTTTCAATGGAAGAAACTCGAATGACCGAGAAGCACCTAAAGAAATGTTCAGTGTCCTTAGTCATCAGGGAAATGCAAATCAAAACAACTCTGAGATTCCATCTCACACCAGTCAGAATAGCTAACATTAAGAACTCAGGTGATAGCAGATGCTGGCGAGGGTGTGGAGAAAGATGAACACTCCTCCATTGTTGGTGGGACTGCAAGATGGTGCAACCACTTTGGAAATCAGTCTGGCAGTTCCTCAGAAAATTGGACATAGCATTACCTGAGGATCCAGCTATACCACTCCTAGGCATATACCCAGAAGATGCTCGAACATAAAACAAGGACATATGCTCAACTATGTCCATAGCAGCCTTGTTTATAATAGCCAGGAGCTGGAAAGAACCCAGATGTCCTTCAACTGAGGAATGGATTCAAAAAATATGGTATATTTACACAATGGAGTATTACTCAGCTATTAAAAACAATGAATTCGAGAGGTTCCTAGGTAAATGGATGGAACTAGAAACTATCATCCTGAGTGAAGTAAGCCAATCACAAAAGAACACACATGGTATTCACTCACTGATTATTGGATATTAGCCCAGAACCTTGAAATGCCCATGATGCAACTCACAGGCCACATGAAGCTCATAAAAAAGGAAGACCAAGTGGGGGTGATTCAGTTCTTCTTAGAAGGAGCAACAAAATACTCAAGGGAGCAAATATGGAGACAAAGTGAGGGACAGAAACTGAAGGAGGGGCCATTTGAAGACCTTTCCACCTGAGTATCCATCCCATGTGCAGTCACCAAAGGTAGATTCTGATGTGGAAGTTAGGAAGTGCATGCCGATAAGGGCCTGATATGGATGTCTCTTCAGAGACCTTCAAGAGTCTGACATATTCAGAGGCAGATGCTCACAACTAGCCATTGAACTGATCATGAGGTTCTCAATGGAGGAGTTAGAGTGAGGACTGAAGGAGCTGAAAGGGTTTGTGGCACCATGAGGAGAGCAACAATACCAACCAACCACAGCTCCCAGGGTCCTAACCAGCAGCCTGGGAGCACTTATGGAGGGATCCAGGGCTTCAGCTGAATATGTAAGAGTGGAGGGCCCTGCCGGGCACAGGTGGAAGATGAGATCCTTGACCTCATGAAGGCTGGACACCCCAGGGGGTGGGAATTTTGAGGGTGTGGGAGTGGTTGTGGGTAGGTGGGGGTTACATCCACGGAGAAGAAGGAGGAGGGGTAAGGGGATGGGGGGTTCCCAGTGGGTGGGGGATGGGGTAAGGGAATTACATATGAAATGTAAATAAAATATCCAATAAAAAAAATTAAAAAAAGAAATACAAAAACAAAAAAAAGAAAAAACCAAAAAAACAAAAAACAAACAAACAAACAAAAAAAGAATGAGTAACCCTCATCTGTTAAAAAAAAAAAAAAATGTAGTTATCCAAAATGGAATTACCATGTGTGGTGGTTTTCCTAAGAATATCTGCTTCATAGGCACATGTATCTAAATGCTTCCTCATCAGGGAGTGGTACAATTGGGAAGAATTAGGTATGGGCTTTGTGGAGAAAGCATGGTACTGGTGGTGGGCTTTGAGGTTTCAAAAGCCAAAGCCAGGACCAGTGTCTCTCCCTCTTCCTGCTGCATGCAAATCCAAAGGTAGAACACTCAGCTACTTCTCTGCCACCGTGTTTTCCTGCTTGTCACTATGTTCCTTGCCTTACTGTTACTGCACTAAACTTTTAAAACTGTAAGTCAGCCCCAATTAAATCTTTCTGTTGCTGTGGACATGGTGTTTCTTCATAGCAATGGAACACTGAATAAGACACATGTGAATCATAACTCATTTCTGACTATATGTATAATATTTGTGAAGTGAAATCTGTATGATGAAGGAACAGCTACAATGGTTCTTCACTGTAATAGCCAAAATATAGTAATAAACTCTATCTGTTAAAAAACAGTTGAAAGAAAGATGAAAAATGTAATATATATAAGTATGTATAAATGTATAAATATATTTTATATATAATAAAATATTATTCATCCATTAAAATTGAGAAAATTTGCATAATCACTTGCATAATCAATCTGACATTATCTATATATGTGAAACTTTCCTGGTACAGAGAGCTGAGCTTGTACCTGTTACCTGAAGCATATCTGTTTGAGTTCACAAAAGCAAAGTAGAATATAAATGATCAGAGTTTACAGATTCTGGGATTGGAAGATGCTCATTAAAAAATATAGTAAGTTTTCTTATGAAGTATTAAATTAAATCATGTGTTTATAGTGGCAAACATTACATATCTAATATATGCTTTTAACATAGCATAAGTATATATATCCAAACTAAATATATATTTATTTATACAAGTACATTATCTTTTCAGCTCTTTCTCCATATAAAATTTTCATCTCTCTCTTAAGTCTCACTATTCTGTTATTTTGCTCAGAGTTCTACAATTTAAGAAATCATCAGTATTTTGCATATCTTACAAGTGATCGTGAGTAGCCATCAGCTTTCCTTTGCAAATAAATTTCCTAGCTAGATTTGAATTGGTCAATTGAATTTAAACTTATAAAAATCTTTTAATTCATAATGTTCTTTGCATATAAATTAGAAGCAGCTGTTCTATTTTTTCAGATTAGGTACCTCATACTCTGAGATCATTTTCTAAACACAAGACTTTTTCTAAATTTAACATAAAATATTACCATTTGAATTAATTGAAAAGAACAATAAATCAAAAAATTAAAAACCCTGAAATTTAGAGAATTTCAGATGCAATCACTTAAATACTTGTGCCTGATATTATGATACATTTGTATCCAAGTGAAATGGTGTGTTGCTCAGAGACCCATCAGAAACAGAGTTTGGTGGTCTGCATGTGTTTTGAAGGTTTTTTAAAGTGAACTAATTTTACAGGTATCAATACTTTATCTGCTAGTGGTTATGGCATTTCAGCTGTTATTTGAAGTAGCATGCAGAGCTCATGTTTGCAAAGCAAACAGCTGAATAAGAGAATACTGAGAGACAATAAAATAGCTGTATTTAGTACTCATATAACAATAATAATAGTAATAATAATAATAAATTTGTGTGTATGTTTTCTAAAATACAGTGTCGGTTTAGTTATATGCAAGACACAATAAGATACCATGTAACAGCCTATAGGAACGTTTGACTAAAACTTATGAAAGAATCAGTCTCAGAATTCTCTAGGTCTACAGCTCCCCTTGTACTATATTTTGCTAATTTTCTCTATTTCTGGCTCTTACCCAGGCTGTCTTTAACTCTTTCTCAGTCTCCCAAGTAGCTGAAATAGAAATTTATCATCATGCTCATCTCTGTGTTTGGTCTTTTGTCTATTTAGTAGCAATCACAGTGTACGTTTTGCAATGTAGTCGACTGAAAACATTCCTGAAATATTGCCTATTGACATATTGACACTTCTACTGTATCCTAACCAATATCATAAATTAGTAGAGATAAAATGAATGCTTCTTAAGGCTAAGTCCTTTTAAAATTACTTTTGCTGATGGCATTATTTACAATAGTGTAAATGTTTCACACAAGTGAAAACTACACTTGTACAAGGTTACAGAAAAGACTTGAGCCACATTTTATCTTGTTTTTCAATCACCCTGATCGGATCCAGTGTACACAAGTGATTAGTTTATAAATAGAGTCCTATAATGTTATGAATTTCCAAGTTCCAATCTGTCACACATTTGAATTTGGAAGTACTTAATAAGGACTACTTGTTGGGATAGGCAAGACATAACAAGAAGATGTGAGATGAAGATCATTTATGCTTTAGGATATCTCAATGTTTCTATTCTACAGTGTTGTGTATCTCCCTCTTCCTCTCCCTCTCCCCTTCCTCTTTCCTTTCTCCCTGCCCCCCCTCCGTGTGTGTGTGTGTGTGTGTGTGTGTGTGTACCTCATTGCTTGTCTGTGTGTATAATAGCATTAGCTTAAATCAGTGATTATTTCACAGAGTAATTTAAAGATCATGTTTTATCAAAACCACAAAGCACTAACAAATTAATCAAGTTGTTCTTTATCCGTGCTCTTACCTTCACATCTTTGACATTCATCCTCGTGCCCTCTTTCCCCACAAATATGTCATCAATGTCCACAAGGATGTACCTGTCCAAGGATAGTGTCAGCCTCTTCCCGGACAAGAAAGAGATGGCGTCAATGAAAATGAGCTTGTGCAACCAAAAGTTCAAGTTGTTACCAAAAAGAACTCGCTGGATCCCGTCATGAAGCCCCAGATCCTGAATTATTGTAGCATAAAGTGTTTGGCTGGACAAGAAAGAGAGGGACTTTTCTGTCTGTAACTCAGTTAAAATCACTGGCTGGTAGGTAGAATGGTTATATTGAAAAATTGTCCAGTCTTCCCCAGGAAGAGGTCCCTTTTCAACTTTGGGGCCTTTGGTAATATGGAGCAGGGGAGACTGGGGGTTTACAGAGCAGTCCTTCAGAGCTACATTATTGAATAAGTTCAAAGGAAACCCTTTCAGTTGTGTAGTTGGTAAGCTGTTCTCGTTGGCTTTATGAAAACCAATTATGCTAACACTGTATTCTATACAGTATTTTTCTAAAAGCTCCCGGTTCCATGAGTCCATGCTGACGTACTTCAGAATATTTTCATATATAATCAATGTGTACTTCCCTTTGCCACTATCGGTAAGAGGTGGTATGTCTCCCTTGCCTGGAGCAATGACCATCTGGTACTGAAACCGGCTGGACTCCAAGATTGCTATAATATCTTGACCAAGTTGCGAATACTGGCTCTCTACAAAGAGAAGAACAGTAGGGTCAGTTTTGGATGTATCAATAGGCTTGATGGTTTTCAGCTCTAAAGACCGATAAGGGAGGTTTTTGATGTCAGCGCACTCTGCTTCCGCAGTAGTTTCAATAAGTGTCATTTCCTGTTTGTAGCCAGAGTACAGGAAGTAGGCAGAAATGACGATGCTCACCAAGCAAAAGGTAGCTAAGAGAACAATCAGTGTTCGAAAGCTTCTCCGAAACTTTACAATAAGATTCATTTTAAAAATCAATGCGTTGGAAGCCTTTTCTGGCTTCTTTCCCTAATGTGCCATGGAGAACATATAGTAAGATGGTGCCAGTTTCCCTTCCCAAACATTCATGTAACCATTGCAAATCATGGGAGATTCTCGAAGGAATCACAAATGAGTCAAATCTGGTAGTCAGCGGACCAGGAAGGCAACAGCTGAGATGCTATGTCCAATACCAAGAATTGCTGCAGTGTCCTTTAAGCATAATCTGAAAGAGAGAAGACATGTGATAGCTACGAGCAAAAAGGAGGAGTGTTCCTGGTTATGTTTATATGCTTACGGATATCTAAGAAGCGCATTAAAGATTATTCTAGTCTTGTTACTATGACAATATACTAATAGTACTCGCTGATAATCTGGGTCTTGATATTTGACACATTAGTCCATTTATATTTTCATGGCTTCTCGAAAACATCGTGAAGATCTGTCTGAATTTGGTCAGTTATCCGCATGTACATAAGAGCACATATTGAGATCAGTTTCAACTAACTATCGTGAAAAGAAGGGAGACAAAAGAGGCACAGAGAAAATTAGATGCATATTATCTATTCTGACATAAGACGGTAACCTTTTTCTTTGAATGCAAAAAGGATGAGATATCAATCTTAAGTATTAGAACTGTTCCTCCTAATATGCAATAGTGAAAAGAATTTATAAAAAAAACATATGGGACTAAATCTGTCAACCCAAAGAATAAGCAGAATTTAAATGTGACATTTATTTAACATCAGTTTGTTCTGAATTAGAATGATGGATCCATATACCACAATGGTACATGCCTGTGTTCTCAGATAGCTTATGTTTAAACTGCGGGACTCATCCTTTATACTCCTCAGTTTTCTCATTTCCTCATCCTTAATGACAATGGCTAGTCAAGGTAGCAACGTCTGGCCTTGAAAAGTGATATATCAGTAATGTTTACCATACCTTGCTTCACAAATAAGAGATATGATGATATTCTATGGAATGCCAAGAAGATGCATTCTGCTGTGTTAGCTTCTCTTTCCCAGTGCTATCTCTTAAACTAATAAAAGGACAAGGGTAAGGCAGGCTTGTAGCTATGGTGATTAGCCAATGCTAGAATATATATATATATTAATATATATTAATATATATTAATATGTGTGTTTGTGTGTGTGTCAAAATATTTAGATCATTTTTAAAAATTATACTTGTAAACAAGTTATATAAAATTAAGTTCTAGATAATAGAAAAGCTATTTAAAAAGCTGCTTCACAAGTGTAAAAATGTGTATTACATTTTCTTAAAGACTTCAATTTTACATGCTAAAATTTTAATCTGACTCTCATTTAAACTTTCATGCAGGATGTACCTGAGGACCAGCAAGCAGGACATAGAATCGGTGGGAACTCTCTCTTCTCCTGGCTCTCCTGGCTCTCCTGGCTCAGAGAACACAGGAGTCAGAATCTGTGAATTACTTGTATGTCTGAAAAGCCAGTATTTCCCACATCAGCACATCAAGGAAATCAAATAAGGCATCACTCCAATTTTCTAAATCTGATTTTTATGTTTTATGAAATTTATGAACATCAACAGAATGACTTTTCCACCTGTCACAGCCACTGAAGCCTTCCCCAAATGTCAGATGCCTGACTACAGCCTGACTTCAGTGAGTGAAAGGGTAATTTTTAGGCCCTGCCTTCCTTGTCCCTGTCAGTGATTTAGATAACATATATATTTCTATGTGTTATTCTTCCATGTATGCACATATAAACTGCAGTGGAATGCATGCCTTTTTCATAAGTACCTCCTTGTTGTCATATATGTTTCAACACGGTTTTCGAGATAAATCATTGCGAATTTCTAGTCATGATACTAGTAACCAAAGCGATTACAAAGACTACCGTAGCTAGGGTTGTTGCTTTGTTTTGTTTGTTTGTTTGATTTTCTTTCATGGAAATGCAAAATTCAATGAATAATAGGTCTAAGGACTGGCAAGCATATCAAAATATGTCTGGTGTTTATTACTTGGAGGTATTATGGTAAGACGCATAGCTCAGCAAAGTTTACCTTAAAATTGGAAAATAAACAATAACAAGTCTTGCTGTCATTAAATTAATTGCCAGATATTACATGGTCTTGCTTGACTCCATTGTTCTGTTATTCTCTCATTATTCAGTTTTTTTAATTAAAAAAATTTAGAAGAGTTTTTAAAAGACTGTGATTATAATTTGGAAATGTTTACAACTAAAAGGATCTGTAATATACCAGTTGCCCTGTTGTGGAATAAGGTGAATCCATGAACTTAGCAGTCAATGTAATTAAATTTAAATCCAATGAGAATGACTTTTATTTCAATGTTAAAAGTCATGCTACAAATTTACTAAAGAAAATGGAGACAATTCACCAAGGTGAATTGGTTAACCCAATACAAGGTGTAAGTTGGAATGAGTCAAACTTTTTAATATTTTTGCTAGGTTTGACTTTTGGTAATACTTAGGGAAAAACAAACTTGGTCAAATATGTAGTTACATTTCATGAAGTTGCATCTATTTTCAGGAATCTTACTGATAATTTGCTCACATATCATAATAATGGACCCTACACATTTAATTAAATCTATATTGTATAAACATTTAACTATTGGTTCTAAGGTACCAGTATTCAATTTTCACTCGTGGTAAGTTGTAACTCATTTTGAAGAACATGCTGCCTTTTCTCTATGTGAAATAAAATGAAAATATCAGAGAAATACTGACACACTTTACATGTCATAAAGGTAGACAGTGCTTAAAAACATTGCTAGTTGTGTGTTTGTATGAGAATTTATGTGTATGTTTTTGTTTGTGTGTGCATGCATGTAAATGTTTGTGTGTTTGAGTATGTGTTTATCAGATGCGGGGTCCTTCTATAAGATTAGCCTTTTTGTCATAGCCAAAAATTAGGTCAAAGCAGACGGAGACGATTTTACCTGGTTTTCAAAGAATTACAAATGTAAGTGGTGTTATTGTTCAAGGTCAGGGTGGTCTGTGATGATTCTGAATATGAAAATGTTTTCTGTTAACTCAATAGATCAGTAGACTAAACATTTGCAGATATCATTATTGGTCACTTAAAGTTCCCATCAGCTTCTAGGCTACACGATGCTAACATTACTTCGGGAACAACCATGTATTCATAACTCATAACTGTTTTCCAAAATGAAAATCCAGAGCAATGAATAGCTCTTGCATTTAATCAAAATGACAATGGTTTGCTATTTTGTGATTTTCTGGAAAAAAATCTTTTCAATTCTGGTAAATAACCTGTTGATTACTTCCTAACTTTTATATACTTTATTTTTTTCCCATTCTTACTGACACAATATAAATTTATTTTAATGCCAAGTGTACATTTTTACTAGTAGACATTCCGAAAAGTGCCATTTTCAAACATAATGATAACATTACTACCCAAATATTATACAGTACCATAATATTATACTAGGTACATAGCTCTGAGCTATCTGCTATATTCATACTTCAAAAGATTATGGAGAGAAGTCTGTAAATAGACGAGTAAATGTCAGGCAATTTCTTTTATCACTACTTCCTGCAGATACATAAAGTGAATGTGTGTACCATTTTCTTGGGTCTTATTTTTGAGATAGAAAAACAACAGGATTTTAAAAATAGAGTATATGTTTGTGGTAATCAAGTGACAAACATGTAGTCATCATGTTTATTTTAAAAACATAAGAACTTCAAAAATATGACTCTACTTACATGAATGTTTGCTATGTGAAGATGTTTAATTGATTATTTCATTTACATTTCAAATAGTGTTCCCCTTCCCTATGTGAAGTTTAAGGTACATAAACACAATAGTAGAAACAACATCTGTGGCTAATGTGAGTGCTTATCCTAACCCTCTAATGGTCAGTACTTGAACCTTATTTTTAGACTGAACATTTTGTCACTGAGATCCTTAATGGTTAAACTAACAATCAAGTCTACAGAACATAGAGACAAGAATTAATAAGGACTAATGATTTTTGAGCTACTGTGTCTAATTTAAGGGTGCCTGCAATTCTGAAAGTTCTTATGAGACCTTCCAATGAGTGAGGGCAGACCTGTGACATCTGCCTGATTTTCTGTGGTTGTAGGAGGGATGCTGACTAAGCATATTCAGAATCAAGTACAGACCAGACAGAACATTTTGACATTGGCCTGGCTTCTAGATTTTCTGCTTTGTGTAAGGATCAAAGGCATTCTTGACACACCTCAACAAATGGACTTTTATTAAGAACTGACCCTGTTTTATAAATGTGCAAACTCATCTGGATCTCATGTCATGAGTAAAACAACCTACGTTCCATTGAGTAAAACAATCTTAGTTCCGTTGGTTTGAACTGTTCCTTATTTCCTCTACTTCCCTCTCCAAAACTCTGCTGTTGTGGATGTTCTGTTTTCTTGTTTTATGAGAGTGGATGATTTTCAATGAACCAATTTAAAGTTTATATTTAGAGAGTTAATATTAAAAGTATGTGTATTAATTACACAATATTACATTCTCTAACTGCCTTTTTTCTCTTGATATATACAATTTATATAGAAACCAAAGATGGCTGGAAAATTGTCCTACCAAGGCATGCTTCCTTGTTTAGACATAATCATAGCACTTTTCTCTTTTCAGTTCTTTCTAAAGTGTACCATCCATAAAGATGCTATGTAAAGCACTCTTAAAAACTCAGACTGCTAATCTTTTTATAACAATGCTTGTTGTTTTCATACTGAGAAAGGATTTTGGGAAAAAATCGAAAACCTAGAATGCTAAAATAAAATGAAAATTGTTTTTAAAAACCTATTGTGCTTTACATGTTTTGTAATTTTTTTAATGAATTGCTGACACATCAAACATCATTTCACTTTAACTTTTTACTTGATATTATGGTATAACTTGTCATAGTAAAACTAAAAAGAATTATAACTTTTTTATTATAGTTTTTTGTTTGTTTCTGTTTCTACTCCTTTAACTAGAAACTCCCTAATCTTGCTCAGATCATTATAGTGTCCAACGCTAGGGTTTACAAAGAAAACAGAGAGTGGTGTAGGAACTGTTTCAAACTCATATAGGAAAGTTGATGGGCTCCTTCCATGATTGTTTCCAAGCCAGAGGTTACACCCATTTTCCATTTGCTTCCCTATCTCTGAGACTACATATGTCTCCTACATATGTCCCTCAGGATCTTCTCCATTTGTGTCCCTG